GAAGCCGGACGGTCCGGCCAGCGTTAGCCGGTACTGCTTGCTGATCTGCGCGCCGCCGCTGGGAGCTCACTGGGCCGGCTGGGTGCATCGGCTCCGCAGGTTAACTGAAGCAAGCGAAGTGGTAAGCGTGGTTTCTCTGTTGCACTGCTGGCTGAAATGCTTTTCAGGGCTGAAGACACCGATGACCTACTTCTGCTTGGAAAGGGTTTACGTATGGAAAGGTCCCTTAATTTGAGCACAGTTACTGTACGCTAGAGCACCCACTCTACAAGCTGCTTTTCTGCACTCTCCATCTATTCGAGCAGCTACTGCTTTTAAGCAAAAGAAATCAAAGATCCAGAATCTTCCTACAGTGATACAGCCCCAGGTACTCTTTTGGTGAACAGAAGCAGTTTGTATTTATTTTTTTTCCTGGAGGATAGCCCATGTGTCTTGTTTGAATAGAGCTTGCAGGTAATTTGCTTCGTTTTAGGCGAGAACTGTATATGCTGCGGTGTTCCGCAACCATGGCAGCTTGGCACCAGGGGATCTGGTAACAGCAGTCAGTCAGTGCATGCATTACAGAATCACAAAGGTAATAACTGTCATCGTGTTGCCCCTGAACTATTCAGTAGCAAAATAGGAACCGAAGTGCTTTTTTCTTTATTCCTGTGGAGAGTGAGGTAAGGGAGAGGTTTGGGGCTGTCTTTCCACTGGCTAAATGGTTTCTGCAGATAGAGAATTCGAAAATGGTCAGTGATAAAACGCAGTTGGGAATTCTTCCGTGTGCCCTGGCAGTGGCTCGGAGCCAGTCAATGAAGCTGAACAGAATTGAACTGCTGTTCAGAACAGATACTTAACAGCCTAATTCTCCCCACCCCCACCTCCCCTTTAGGTGGTAATGCTTGCCAATTTGAGAATTGTAAACCAACTAGCTCGTAATCAAATTGGGCAGCGTAACCTGGGTGAAGCACCTCAGCCATGAGACCCCTGTGACAGGCAGCTCACCCCGAAAGACTGACAAGGAGTCCTGATAGATAAACACCTGTTTCAGCAGTGGCATCCTTCCTTACCCTCTCCTCTCCCCAGTTTATCACTGACAAGTTGCTTCTTCCCGAGAGCTGGAATCCTTGATGACTAAATCCCTCCTCACAGCACCTTCATCTGTGATCGGTATTTGTCCTGATTAGCAGCTGGACTCTTGGTTTTAAATGCCAGTGGGATTCTGTTCTGATTCCTCATTTTCTCAAGGGATCTGTAATGCACAGTTCTACCGCGGTGCCAAGACCTGGCTGTCAGTCTGAATGCATTGGGGCCCTAGTAGTGATGTGAAACCAGCGTGAAACGCTTGGCTGACCAATACATGGCGTGAAGTGGGAAGCTGCAGTTACTTTCACTGATGGAGACAAGCTGTTCCACAACACATCGCATACCACTATGTGAAAAGCGTGGCCCTCCGTAAGGACAGACCTCTAGACATCAAGGAGTATGGTGTAGGTGTTTAGATTATATTTAAAAAAAAAAAAGGAAAAAAAAAAATCACAATATGGGAAGGATGGTCTCATTTGCAGCTGCAAGATATGGAGCTTACAGATGTCTGTCAGTTTTTAGTATACCAGATTACGTATCCAATAAGACTCACAAGATGATCTCATCAACTCACTTCATTTGCTTGCTTGTAAGGGAATTATGCTTAAATCGGCAGTGATGGAACCAGGTCAACCCCACAGGAGATCTGTTTGTCCTGATGCCAGGTGGAACCATGTGCTGTTTGTCCTTAGTACGGCGATTGCTTGCTGTTACTTCCTTTCAGGCTTGGCTAAGGTAAGATACAGATTTTTCAAAATGTAGGTTAGGGTGAAATCGGTAAAGAACACTTCCAAATATTAAATCTGATGTTTGACAGTTTACTCCCAAAGCTAAGCAAGCTCAATGGTGACAATTCCTTCTAAGATCATCTCCAAGCCTAAGTGAAGTTGTGAAAAAAATTCCAAGGTCAACACGCTGCTGCTGGTGGAGGGATAACAGACAAGGTTGTCTTAAAATAATCAGTTTAATGAACTGCTTCTAAAATAACTGGCCTGCATATTAATGATGTCCCTCTTTCTTGTTAATTAGGCAGCACTAAAATACTCTTAGTCTGTTACAAGGGAGAAGAGAATTCACTTGTTACTTCAGGAAGGGTTTTTTTCTGTTTCCCTCTCAGCCTGCAACAGTCCTTGCCAGGCTGGAATGGGAACAGGAAGATACTGTTGTTTCCATGTTGAGGCTTGCCACTCTTAATTTGCCTGGATGCTTCTCAATTGTAATTATGTAGATATGATGAATGCTAAGTGATAGAATGAGACCACTTAACTATGGTAGGCTCCTGAGGCAGCCAGCTTTGATTGAGGGAAGTCACGTTAAGCTGCAGTGGGACAGTTACACAAGGACAGAGTTGCCCCAGCACACAGAGCTGGGAGCGTTCTGAATCTTTTGGCACATATTGAGTTCAGCACCTCCTTCATTCTCACCCTCTGCCTTTTATTTCAGATAATAGTCAAAATCACTCATGTTCCAGTGAGGGGGGGTGGGTTTATAGTAGTTGGGGGAGCAGTTTCAATCCTCACTTCTATTTCCCTGCACTCTACTACATGGCTAACCTATGGAAGAAAACAGGTATACTTAAGAATGAGAAAACAGATGATTAGAGATGCCAGAACCTGTTAATAGGAAGACAACCACAACAGCAATTGCTAAACCCACTAGGTGCATCCACATGCTATGATGGATCCTCTCTATCTGCTCATCCTAGTAATTGTAGAGGAGCTGGAGATGCTTAAGACTCATAATAGAGCTCCAGGCAGAGGAAGCTGTAAAGTGAGAAACAATTTAATACAGTGAAGCATATAGTTCTGCTGAGCAAAGATTTGGGGGGGGGGGGGGGGAACAGAACTGCTTTAGCAAAGCATTGTGTTTCTACACATGGGATTCAGGGATGATTCTGAGCATGAGTGCAAGTACTGGGGAAAAAATAATTATGAATGTACTGCTGAAGAGAGGATGCTACTATTAAAAGTTCAACTAGCCACAGGTGTGTAAGCCACATACGCTTCTGAGACAGCCTCAGAGAAAAAGCTGTTGTTGAGAACGTATATACCATGAACAACTCTTCTGAACTTGCAGCAAGAATACATGCTGATAGCCTGAGCCCACTGTAGGTATTTTTTTAGAGAACTTCCACTGAAGGGTAAGTTATCAGCTATATCACTTGTTTGAAAGTTATTTTGGCTGATATATTAGTAAACTTGTTCATATGGAAAATCAGTCTGCATGAACAGGTCACTTAACTCATCGGAAGTTATTTCTTTAGGTTTAAGAATGCGCAAAAAAAGCCCTGACTGCACATTTAATCACAAAATTCAAATCACTGAAGATGAGTCAACTTCCATGACAAAAAGAATTATGTATGCCCGTTGCAAGTGTAGATTTACCTTTTCAAATCTCCTACTAGAGAAGAAAAACTAAGGTCATGGTTTATGTAAACTTGCACTGCACATGTAGCGTCGCTGCTTTTATTACAGTGCGATAGCCCTCCCAAGGATCATTTGTCATCAGTTTGAAGAAAGCAGTTAAACCTGCCTGCAACAGTGCATGAGGAGACAAGCCTTCAGCTCATGAATAGCAGCTTAACTTTACCACATTCAACCCAAGTCAGACAACCTACAGCCTTAGCCCCATGAAAGGCTCACCAAATTTATTGTGATATAGCTCTAACTTTCAGCTGATGATTTTTAAACAAATATAGCCAGAACTTCAGGTAGGTAGAGGTGAAAAGCCCTAATGATGCATTTTCACGTTCAGGAATTGCAGGGAGATGATGAAATCTCAGGTGAATTCGTGTACAAGGGTTCCACCACACCCTCTCTCAACCACTCCATGCTGGCAAGCTTTTACTCAGTGCAAAGAGATTACAAAACTGTTAAATAATCTTTAAAAAGCTTTATTGAATACTTCTGAATTTTTACAGCATCAGTAAATTACATTTTTGTATTAGCCTGCTTTACACTTTCAAACCAGTTTCACACTATATTATAGGAACTCTGTACTACCATCTTACGGAACAAGTAGTTTAGTTTGTAAGCATATAGTGGTGATGTTTGAATGTGACTGTGACAGGCCTGAAGACAGGGTTGCTTTGTCACACAACGGCACCACAGGCAAAGGAAACAGAGATCTTTTAAAACGCTGTCATGCTGGTAAACCATACGGCTAGTCCAAAGGCTCTTTCCTTCTGCTATCTTGACCAGAAAAAGCCAGATGCATCCCCACGCTGTCACACTCCGTTGTTCATCCCAAAATAGGCACTAATTTTAGGCTTGTAGCAATTCTGGTGGTAATTAAGAAATTTGTTCGTTTATTATGGCAGTGAGACTAATTCACTTTATATAGACTATTACAACTTTGTGCAGATGATGTCTTATTGCATAAATGAGAAAATCATTCTATATGGGATTCTGAAGCCCAACATTATTATTTTTTAAATTACTTTCTTATATTAACTTCCTAGATACTTTGTATGTCTACCTTGTGCAATTAACTTCCCTGTCGCCTTATTTGTTAAATCCACGCTGGCAAACGCAATATTTCTTCCTTGCTTCAAAATCTCAGCTGTAATCAGTATCTCTTCTCCAATCTTAGCAGCAGAAGTATATCTTAAATGAACAAAATGAACAGGTAAGAGGCTGTACAGAGCACAAATCCAAGAATATTCCTGCATTTTAGATTATCATGAAGGGAATTAGCAAAAGTAAGTAACTGTTGTGGTTTAACCCCAGTCGGCAACTAAGCACCACGCAGCCACTCGCTCACCCTCCCCTGCCCCGGTGGGATGGGGGAGAGAATCGGGAGAAAAAAAAAGTAAAACCTGTGGGTTGAGATAAAGACAGTTTAATAGGACTGCAGAGGAAGAGAAAATAATAATAAAAGATATACAAAACAAGTGATGCATGATGCAACTGCTCACCACCCGCTGACCGATGCCCAGCCCGTCCCCGAGCAGCGATCGCTGCCCCCCAGCCAGCTCCCCCAGTTTATAAGCTGAGCATGAGGTCACACGGCATGGAACAGCCCTTGGGCCAGTCGGGGTCGGCTGCTCTGGCTGTGCCCCCCCAGCTTCTCGTGCACCGGGCAGAGCATGGGAAGCTGAGAAAGTCCTTGGCTAGTGTAAGCGCTGCTTAGCAACAACTACGACATCAGTGTGTTATCAACATTATTCTCATCCTAAATCCAGAACACAGCACTATACCAGCTACTAGGAAGAAAATTAACACTCTCCCAGCCAAAACCAGGACAGCAGTGAGGACACATCTCTCTCTAACTGCCTGCTTGCAAATCCCCACTTCTTAAAAGTCCTTGAGATCCTCTAAGTACTGCAGTGGTAATTCAGTATGAGAGTTCTCTGAGAAAATGGAGGAGAGACAGAAACCATTGGCTTGGTTCTGAGGAACCAAGTTCTGTTCCATTTTGGAACAGAAACAATTGGGTATCAAAGATCTCAGTTTTAAGTTCAGCTCCAAGTCCTGTTCCATCCACTGCTGGCTCCCTACAGCCTTTCTAAACCAGTCTGGCTGGTTCAGCTGCAAAAAGTCTCTGTTACAAAGGCTCCAGAAGGTCATTTCTGTATGGAACCTAAGCGTAGGTTAACTGCTTCCCATACCCTGGTCAGAGAAAAGTCATGGAAATCTGGAAGGCCTTCAAACTTCCCAGGTTTAATACTGTTTCCATTAATTAGATAACGCTTTGTTTTTATTGACATGAGTAGGAGGGTGTGCTTTTAAAATACTCTGCAGGGAACAGGAAGAAATTCCCCCACAAAACGCCTGGAGATAATTAGGAGGAACATGATCCAACCATGATCTGAGGTAAGGGAACAATATTCAAATGTTAGAGTTAGAGGAAAACGTACAATTGCTGGATATAAATCTTACTGAGATAAATTTCATCAACCAGTCCATTTTTATACATGACACCACGTCAAAAGTATGTCAGTCACGCCTAATGCTGATGTAGCACAAACCCCATTAGCTGACAGGGAGCAGGGTTTTAGTCTTGGTTCATTCTCAGAGGCTGCTGCTGATCCTTTTGTGATTTAAAATAAAAAAAAAAGTTTCTCTGTTTCCCTCTGTTCTTTCCATTACTGAAATAGCTTCCTCGTGACAACCCTTTAAAAAGCTCCTTCCCAAAAAAGGAAAAAGTTGTATTATAGCCATATTCGATATCCATTATCACTTGTTCAATGAAAGCAGTAGTCTGGGTTAAACAAAGCTATTAATACTGCTTCACATAACATTTCCTAAAGGTTATGCTACTCAATCATCTTGGATCACCTCCAGAGACAGCACTTTTCTTAAGGTTTTAGCCCTTATGTAATTGGGTAGGCATACTTGATAGTGTAAATAATTCAGATCTTGCCCTCTTGTTATACTACTGTCATTTCCAGTAATTTCCTGGTCATCGCAGTGGTAATATAAAGCTTAAATAGATGCTCCAGTCCCACCCCCCCCAGAGGAGAAATCAGAGGGTGCTGGGGGGGAAAGGAGGGAACCTGGTAAAGATACAGATGACTCCCCACACACTTCTGAAGTTGTTTTTTTTTTAAGACAGTTTTGATGAGGGGTTACTTTTCCAAGATTTTTAATGCAGTGTGTTAGTTATTCCAAGTAGGATTACTTTAGCATCAATCAGTCATAATCTCTTCATTAAAAATAATGAAGCAAAGCTGACAAGCTGTAATAGTATGATCAAAGGTTTCAGAACAACTTTTTTTAAAAAAAAAAACAGACTGTGCTTTAAATTGGCATTACAGGAAGAACTATTCTCAATATAAAACAACCTTTAAATGACCTAGAGCAAAGGAATCTTCCTCCAGTGAGAAACTCTGATTCAAATTCACCCTCTATGTGAGCATACAACAGAGCTAAACTGTTTCCTGTTTTAATATTTTTCCTGTTTTAACATTTTGTGGACTAATACTAAAAAAGGGTTTACAGAAAGCTGCTTACCCTGGATTTTGGTGTTTAAGGACACACTGTAACATGTCTTCACAAGAGAAGACAGAGGCTAAGTCAATTTCGTAAGACTAAAATTTAGCACATATCAACATCCCTTTACATTTTATGAATGAACGAGTACTGTCTCTTAAATGCGTATAAGAAATAAAAGCTTAAAAAAGTCCACCTTGAATTTTGCAACCAAATGGTGATATCCCCAAATACAGCCCCCCCTTAATTTATCAAAGCAAGACTTCTGAAACCAAAGAAAACACCTTTTTAAAGTAAGTACTACAGCATAGAAATGATGTACAATGGGAAGCCAAGTTAGTATGTTCTGGTAAACATGGTGGATGATACCTACGTGATGTTCATGTCCACACTGACCCCAGGCACTGCTCTTTCTGTGTACAGCAACGCTGTGGTTGACACCACATCCACAAGCGTGGCTGTCAAACCTCCATGCAAGGTGCCGCCTCTGTTTGTATGCTCCTCCTCTACTTTCATTTCACAAACAATTTTTCCAGGAGTTGCAGAAAGAAGTTTCATCTGTATAAGCAAAAACAGGAATAAAAAGCTTACAGACTGTAACAGTACCAACACCTGATACTGCCCTGAATCAAACTGAAAGTAAATCTTGTTTAATTCTGGACTCCTGAGACAAATTAAAAGATGGAAAATGTAGTAATTCAACAGTCACATTAGGTATTTCAATAAATTTTGAGCAGAAGATTGTTGCCTTAGAAAAATGTGTATTTCTAGTGCAGATAAATATTTAAACTGACAGCTTAAGAAAACTTCAATACTTGCTATGCTCTCAGGAACTGCTTAGGAGACAACATTCTTCTTCAATTTTCCTTTTGCTTTAATCTGTGACTGAAAAACCAGATTAGAGGGAAGACAAAACTACTCTGACTGTGTGTACCATAGTTGTGAAGGCTTATTTGTTAGCTCACAAAATGGAAATGGGTCTGACAGTAATTCATTAATCATTATACGAGAGCAACCTCAGTAAAAATCAGTATTTTGAAATGAGCACTGGAAACGCTAATCAAATTGGCCTCCCTGAACTGAAATTCATACTTCTGGGTAGAAATATCCAAGGCTGTATCACACTATATTACTGCATCATGACTTGCATACACACTTTTATTCCAGCCTATAGGTGTTAAACAGAAAAATTACAGTACATCTATGGTATCATGCTTCCCCCTGTAACCAACACAAGAAGCTGGATTTTTGAGACCAAGAAGTTACTACAATTCAGTATTTTAAAATCCTTTTTTCACGTTTCTTCAGTTAACAGCAGTATATTCAAAATCTGAAAGCAGATGCAAAACTGGTGTAAGTTCAGCATATGTATTTACACCTACAACTAAGACTTTGAAGTACCTTTAGACTGTCACAAGTGAAATGTGGGCATAATACTTATTATAATTCCTACTAATTTTCTGATTTTTTACAAAGTTTTTTTTAACTTGTATGTTTCCATACCGTATCAGCTGAGTTGACTCAAATCTCCTTAATCTTAAAAGGAATTAAGATTGAACTGTCTCCAGTTTCACTATTCCTTATTTATAATGCAGTGTAAGAGCTCAGTTTCAGCCAATGTCCCTTTCTGATAGGCCAAAGTTTACCCAAATTTTGCAGAGAAATGATACTAAGATAAATGATGATGTAGCACACAGTCCATTTACAAATGGAAAAAGCTGGAATTAGGCAGAGGGGAAAATCACTGAGGCAGTGTCCAAATGTAGAAATAGCACCTTGATCAATGAAAATCCCAAGTCCTAAACGAGGCGTGCTGCGCTGCGCTGACTGGAGGACTAAGTTTCTGACAGAATCTCTAACGAGGACTTTACTGACGCTTGACACTGGGAGCAGATGGCTTCCACTGCTGTCGGGGAGTGCTCCAATCCATCAGCCAGGCAAGGAAAGCATCTGGTTTCATTTGTCATTGCTCTGATCTGGCACTAACTGCCTGCTCTCCTTGGACAAAAATAGTTCAGTATTTGAACGCTTCCAGGACTCACAGCCAGAGCTGCTGGTTTGTACTTCGCTTCTCCAGCCCTTCTGTGCCTGTCCTCCCATGTGTCTGTCTCAGTGAGTGGAATGCTGCTTTGGCTTCCAGCCACCACTGCGATGCACTACTTCTTTGGGGAAAGGGCTTTAAAACCCACAGTCGTTAGGCCTTGTGTAGGTACCATAGAATCATAGAATCGTTAAGGTTGGAAAAGACCCTCAAGATCATCGAGTCCAACCATTAACCTAGCACTGCCAAGTCCACCACTAAACCATGTCCTCAAGCACCACCTCTACCCATCTTCTAAATACCTCCAGGGATGGAGACTCAACCACTTCCCTGGGCACCCTGTTCCAGTGCCTGACTACCCTTTCAGTGAAGAAGTTTTTCCTAATATCCAACCTAAACTTCCCCTGGTGCAGCTTGAGGCCGTTTCCTCTTGTCCTATTGCTTGTTACTTGGCAGAAGAGACTGACCCCCACCTCGCTACAACCTCCTTTCAGGCAGTTGTAGAGAGCAAGAAGGTCTCCCCTCAGCCTCCTCTTCTCCAGGCTAAACAACCCCAGTTCCCTCAGCCACTCCTCATAAGACTTGTGCTCTAGACCCTTCACCAGCTTTGTTGCCCTTCTTTGGACACGCTCCAGCACCTCCATGTCCTTCTTGTAGTGAGGGGCCCAAAACTGAACACAGTACTCGAGGTGCGCCCTCACCAGTGCCGAGTACAGGGGCACTATCACCTCCCTGGTCCTGCTGGCCAC